TGAAGTAGAAATTTGTAGAAGTTGAAAAGAAAAACGTCATTTGGTTTAAGTCCACAATTGATTATCTCGCAACTTTGTAGATGTTCCATGAATCCTAACATTTTCTGAAATTAAAAGAAACATTGTATTGATTAAAGTTGTGCTTGGAGATAATAAATTTTAATATCATATCATATATCAAGTTTAATAATTAAATATTAAACATTGATTCTACTTTAAAATAAAATGCTTAAATTGTTTACCAACCTATATTAAAATTAAATTTCAAGCATATATTGTATAGTCTGTAAGTACTAATTTTGAATTGACAAGTTTTATTTTAAACTAATAAAAAAAATTGATATTTTTTATCTAGAAATAAATGCAATTAAATTATATATATATATATTATTGCAAAATACTCTAATCTCCTGTTTTTAAAATTATAACTTGAACTCTTAACATTTTTAACATTGGATAATTAACAGTAAAAACTTTTTTTTAAAAAAAAGTCAAACTTCAATGAATACTTATAATGTAAATTATTTTGAGGTTATAAAATGTTTATAACAACAACATTAGTGTAATAAAAATATGAATTTCTATCAATCAGTAGCATACACAGAATTCTTTTATGTAGGGAAGGGGTAATCTCTATGGTAAAAATTTAAAATCTGTTGGCAGGGGCGGCTCTAGGGCCGGACAAACCGGACCCATGTCCGGGGCGGCAAATTTTAGAGGCGGCATTTGGACCAAGTTTTAAAAATACTTTTTTTTGTTATGGAAAATTTGGAAGAAGTACACACACACTATCTAGGGAAAAATATTCAGAACGAGATAATTTCTCTTTTATGTGAGAAATTAAATTATACATTGTTCATAAAATTAAACAAGCTAATCATTATTTGATAATTTTAGATTGCGCCCCTGATGCCGGCAAGATCGAACAAATGACATTTATGGTAAGGTATACATGTATTGAGAAATCTAATTCTAACGAAGTTATTGTTGAAACTAATGCGAGTTTTTTTGGTTTCCTTCCAGTTGAAAGATTAACTGGAAGAGAACTTTCAAATTTAATAGTTGTGAAACTTAAAAAAATTAGGGCTAAATTTGCTAGATATGCGGGGGGAGGCTGGCCTACAATAATGGAGTGAATATGAAAGGCAAGAAATCAGGGGCTCAATTTAAAAGAACGTTAAATCCGCGAACAATCTATGTGCCATGTAGTAGCCACTCTTTAAATTTGGTCGTTAATGATATGGCAAAAGCATCCTTAGAAGCCTGTACTTTTTTTAATAGAGTTAAAAAATTTTTTTCCCCATCAACTTTTCGTTGGGTTATATTATTAAAATGTATAAAGGGCATAAAACTTTGAAGCCCCTTAGTGTAAGTAGCTGGGAAAACTGAATAGAGGCTATTAAACCCTTGTTATCAATTGGGAGGTTTTTATGATGCTTAGTTTTTATAATGCTGAAATTGACAACTCTATAAGAGATGAGGCCTCTGGATTATTAAATTCTACTAAATAATTCAAGTTCCTATGGCCATCATTATTTGGTATAAAATCTTAAATTGCATTAAAATCCAATAAGCAAGCTATTGCAAACAAAATATAACGACCTACCATCTACTATAGAACTCTCAAGAAATTGTAAAGATTTTTTTAAGGATGTGCTTTTGATAAAATGCACTGTGATGCAAAAGAACTGGCCATCGAGATTGATATATCTGCTAACTTTGAGGTGACACAGCCACGTCACAGAGTTAGACGGAAAAATGTAAATTTTAATTATGAAGCACAAAATGATCCGATGGAATATCCTAAATTAAAATTCAAGATAGAGTTTTATTTTTTTACATTGGACGAAGCAGTTAATGCCTTGGAATGCAGATGTAATTTAATGAGTACTAACAGTAATTGTTTTCAATTTCTGTACAATGTGATTTAAGAGATACCCTTAAAACTTTAATTAATTAAAAACTGTAAAAATTTAGAAATGATGTTGACCAACGGAGAATCATTGAATGTTTTGTTGTTGTTGCTTATGCCACCTGATCGACAGTAGCATCAGATCAAGGCCCATGAAATTCATCGCGGCTAAGGGCTGGAAATCATTGGATGTAAACGCGCTTGATTGAGCAGATCAGATAATGTTACTTTCAGCTTTAGCAGGCAAAAAAAAAAAAAAAAAGCCCAGTTGAAATTTCAAAATTTATGCTTTAGAATTTGTTCCAAACTTGCTATTGCATTTATTTTACTTTCTTTGCTAATAAGTTTGGCAAGTGTAGATATTAGTTTCTCAAATTAAAATTCTTAAGTAAGAAATTTAAAATAGATTAGCTACATTGGCTATCAAACATGAAATAGCTGAAAAAATTGATCAAAATTAAAAATCAGGAAAAAAACAGTGGTAATTTTTTATGTTTTAGTTTAATATATATATATATAGTGTAAGCTTCCTTTTTCTTCGCAAGGAATATTCAAGTTTTATAGGTGTGTATTTATGAACAATTTTTATATTTTTAATAATAGTTTTTTTTTACTTTGGGGAGAGGGGCGGCATTTTTCATTTTTGTCTGGGGCGGCAAAATTGCTAGAGCCGGCCCTGCTGTTGGTCCATGGGGGAGGGGAGAGATGAACTGCAATTCCCTTGTTGTATGCCACTGCTCTCAATTAATATGAGGGTCACTCTGAAATTTTTGAGATACTCCTAGGTCTTTAAAGTTATACTTACAAAATTTTAGGTGTGTTCAAAGTAGTCTTTTCCAGCATCAATGCACTTTTGTAGACGAATTTTCCACTGATTAAATGCATCAAACCATTTATTTCTTGGAATTGATAAAAAATGCATTTATAACCACATCAATCTCTTCTTCTGAATGAAAACGACATCCACATAAGTTATTTTTTAGATTAAAAAATTACCAAAAGTCACATATAGCTAGATCCGGAGAATATGGTGAATGTTCTATCATTTTAATTTGTTTTTGCTTAAGAAACTCAGCAGTTAATCCGGCTGTATGGGAAGATGCATCGTCATGGTGAAGCATTAGTTCCCTAACATTCACTTCTTGGACAATTTTTGGATGACATTTAGTGGTATACCAGTTTGCTGTTATTGTCGTCTGTCCTTCGAGCTTGATGGCCTTGACCAATCCCGTACTCCTAAAAATAATACGGGATACATTGCTTTTTTCATTGCTCGTTGTCTTTTCACCATTGTTGACATGGGATCATCTTGAAAGACCCATACTTTACTTTCTTGACGTGTTGGAACGTAAAAAAACGGTATGTACGTTTCATCACCCGTTACAATTTTAGAAATAATGCAGGGGCCACCATCATTTAGCAATTTAAGGGTTTTTTTACTGATTCTGACACGCTCCTCTTTTGGGTGCTCAGTTAGATAATGGGTAACCCAACCACAAACTACTTTTTTTATATGTAATTCTTCATGAATAATTTTGTATATGGCTGCGGATCCAAAGTTCCTTCTGTATCATTTGGTAGGTACAGCGATTATCATCCAATAACATTTTTCGTATAGTAGACACATTATCCGGGATTACTGCCAAACACGGCCTTCCTGTGTGTTCTTTATCTTGAGGAGAATTGTGTCCACTGCAAAATTCTTTAAACCATCTGAATACAGTAGCATGGCATGGAGATTTATCATCAAATGCTAATTTCAGCCGTTGAAAGCATTCCTCTTGATTTTATCTAGCTTCAAAATCATAGAAAATCATAGCATGATAATGTTATCGCGTCAACTCCATTTTCTCTTCTGTCTAAAGTTTATTCTACGCTAAACAACTTGAAGTAAGCCTGTAAAATGTCGTCTGCTGAGTTAAAATACTTTGTATTTTCAAATTAAACCATTAATTTTTTTTTGTAACTTCTCGTCTGTGCGTATCTCAAAAATTTCAGAGTTACCCTCAAATAAATATTTCATTCGAGTAAGAGTATTGAAAAAATATTTGAAGTTGTTTTGTATGATGAACATTAATTTATTTAATAATTAAAATTTATATTATTTTTTTTCCTAAAAATAATTTTTCAACTAAAATAGCATAATAATATTTTCAATGATAACATAATAAATGTGAAATTTCATGAAAAAGTATTCTAAAACAATATGTAACTTACAGTGGCAGTGATGAGCTCATGATTAGATAGACTTTTTTTACACATCTGGTCCTGTAGGATATGGTCCAGGGGGATATGCACCAGGTGGAATAGGTCCCTGTAAATACAGATAAACATTAAAAAAAATAGTTTCAAAGCATATTTTGGAATATAGTAAGAAATATGTACTATAATCTAAGTAGTTCAGGTAGGTATTGGTTTTATTCAACTAGATTTTTCATTGAGTGTAGCAGATTAGTCTTTAAAAAAGGAGTTTGGGTTTCTCTTACAAATAAATATGCAAATTATTAAGGCAAATTGCTTGAATCTTATACTGAATGCAATCAATGCACATTTTAAACTTAAATTTCTCATATGAAAATAAAATGTAAAAGGAGTTACTAACTTAAAGCAAATAACTGAATTTAAAAGTATAAACCAGAAATTTTAAATTGATTTAACTTATGTAAATAATATTTACAAAAATATTTTTCTTTACAGTTTTGGAATATTCAGTGAATTTTACTTAAATGCAACCCTTAAGTAAACAAATCTTTAGCATTTGTAAAGAAGTTTCGAATATACATTTAAAAACAAGTAATATATATATATATAAATTAAGTCAACTCCTACTAGGTCTACAAAGCAAAATTTTATTTTCTAGTTACTTTTTATTGAATAGTTAAAATTAATATAAATATGTATATACATATGACAGAATCACAGTATTAAGTGACAAAATAGGTAGCGATTTTCCTTGCAATTTTCCATTTTCTTTTCTATATATGGTGTTAAACTATTTTTTGTTTGTTTGTTATTATTTATTCATTAATTAAATTTAATTATTCTAATAAAATACTATAGTAAAAAGAAATCTCATTCGCAGAAATTAGGTAAGCCCAGGTGGGATTCTAGTCCACGACCTTTGGATTAGAAGTCCAACACGCTATCCATTGCGCTACAGGAACACAACAAACAATTTTCTTTTCTATATATACTAGTGAACTAATATTTTTGTTTGTTACTATTTATTCATTTTTAATTTAATTAGTATTTAAAAAAACTATATTAACGTCGAGTGTTATTCACTACAAGTTTTAAAAAACGTATTTGAACTTGAATGGATGAATAGAAAGCATTTTATTAATGATTGAAAATTTGAACAAGATATATAAATAAATATATATATAGCGAGAAAGTGAACTAATAGTAGGAATTGAAAAATCAAACTTACACCACCAGGAGGAGGTCTCCATCCACATCCAGGTAATGGTAAACCATCAGGTCCTAATGGACATGGTGCATCTAAACCAGGAACACCCTATAGAAATTAGATCGTTTAAAAGTTTTATTCAATTTTATTATTAATTTTGTAGCAATCTATATGGATTTTTTTCAAAAGTTTATGAAAGGGAAGTCTGTTTTAAATTGAACTAACTATGCAATAATAATACATATTGCTATGCAAATTAAGAAAATGCCTTGCATAAAACAGATTTTTTGAGTTTGTAACCAATTATTCTACATATTTATCTCAAAATTCATGAAAATTTAACTGCCCAAAGATTTATTTTCTATAAATCTCATAGTTAGATCAATATATTCTTGTGAAAATGAAAATAAGAGGTTCTGTTATAGCAAAAACAGCAATAATAATTTTTTGAAATTTTAATGGTATTTATGTTACATTTCAATTCCTGCATAATTTTAAATAACTGATACACAAAACAGAGATAAAGAAAAATAACACTCTTTTTGTTGTTATAAAAAATAATAAAAATAAGAAATTTCACATAATTGCTTACTTGATCTCCTTTTTCACCTTTCTCGCCCCTCTTACCCCTTTTGCCACGCAAACCCTAAAATTTGTTGTTTTTTAAATGTTTTTAGTAATTTTTCCAACTATATTTTTTTTAATTAAAATTAACTTTTTCAAAATATTTTAAAATTTTGATTAAAAGAACTCACTTCTGGTCCTAATTCACCCTTTTCACCTTTTGGTCCCTGGAAGAAAATATATATTCGAAGAGACACATTTCTTTTTCAAATGTGACTCATTGCAAAACTACAGAATTCATGCAGCTCTAATACAAAGCAAAACATGCAGCCAACAGTTAGGGTGAGATAGCACATAAGAAGCAGCATGCAACACAGAACCCGCTACTACTGGGTGGCTGTACTATGTTCGTTTTTAGTAAATAGAAGAATTAGTCACTACAATGGATGTGTAGGACCAGCACCCATACTGTTGTCCTTGATAGTTACCGGCAAACCTGGGATTCCATCAGTGCCCTACGAAGAAAATAGATTAGGTTTAAAAAGAGAAAATGTTAAATAGCAGAATTGATTTTCTTGAGGACTATATAAGTTGCATACATTCAATAAAAGAAGTCTGTATACATGTTGCCTCATGATTACATTCATGTGAATAAGAACTATTCGAAATATTTAAAAAAAATTTTAGTATGATAAAAGTTGCAGTTCAATAATAATGTAAGCAATGTTTCTAACTTTATTTATTAATAATAAAATAAGTAGAGGGAGAGACGAAATATATGTTTTATCAAACAAGTTTTTAATCAAAGCTTAAAAATAAATTTGCAATGTATGCAAATAGTATTTCATAATTTGGAGTGAGTATAATATACATTTTTAAGTGTTGCCACTCCTAATAAGTTCAAAATTTCCTGTTTATATTATTTAATATTTGTTCCGCATTTGTTTATTCTCTTTAAATCTGGCAACAGAATTTTAGTAAGTGTAAGTTTAGTTTTTGGAATATTCTAAGTAGCTTACATTTTACACTAAGAAAAGAGCTGTATAATATTTTATCTTTACGAAGTGTGAGCTCAAATAATTAGTCATTTCATGTAAATAGCTTCATTAATTCAAAACTGTAAATAGCCTCATTTATCCTGCGTGTCGAAGAAAAATAAAAGAATATTGCAATCAAAGAATAATAGTTTTCCCTCGAGTCACAACATTAAATATCAAATAGTTATAAACAAAAGAAAAATTTATATAATAATAATAACTTCACAGAGAGATTTAAAAGTAATAAAACAAAAATAATAAAATTAATGTTCTTCAATAACCTAATTATATTAAAGTAATTTTTTAAGTATAAATCTAACTTACTGGTAATCCTGGTTCACCTTTATCCCCTTTTCTGCCTAAATCTCCTCTTTCACCCTGGAAATATGTAGCCAAAATAATAAGATCTTATAACTTTGATACTACATCTTCAGAATACTTTAACAATCACTTTTTTATGCAAATAAAATTTAAGCAAATATCTTTCTTTACTATGAGATGTAATTTTTTGTTCATTTATTTTAAAATTCATCTTTTATTGAACATTAAATTTAATCCAAGCCTTTACTTTTGCAAATATTTAAAAAATGACACATTAATTAAATAGACTTATTGAGAATCAGTTTTTTTCAGAAATTGAAGTAACAGGGCTTGTATTTTCCCAATTTATTTAATTGATGTATCATAGAATTTTTCTCATAAATTCAAATTATAGATGTCAGATTAAATATATCTATATTTTTGAAACTACAAAGGAATTTTCAAATCATTTTTTGATTTTTCAATGAAAAATTTACTATTATTTCAGCAATTTTCAACTTTAAAAATATATTTATTTCTCCATGAACATAAGTATAATCTTAAAAGAATATTGAGTCAAATACTCTAATACTACAAAAAAAACCCCTGCTAAAATATACATTTGTTAGTAGGCAATATTATTTTTAAGTTAAAATTTCGAGTTTCTAAATGCATTTTATAAATCATTAATAGGGTAATTTCCATCTTCCAGGTTCTATTTATTTGGAAAAAGTTTTTTCATAAAAATGAGTAACTTAAATATGAATTTTAAACATTATCTTCAAAAATATTATTACATTTTGATACGAAAAATTAAATAAAAATAAAATTATTCATGAAAATAAAAGATTACCACAAATTTCAAAATATAATGCAATGCATACATAAATGTATGAATTAATACAAAATACAAATATATACACATTTGTTTCATGCAAAATTTTTTAAAGGAAGCATATCTTTACCTTCATCCCATCCAGTCCGGGCGGGCCCTGCGTTTAAACAACAACACTGACAGTCAAAAACAACGGAGGATATACACACTGCTTATATCGAAAGTAAAGAAAAATGTGGAACCAGCAAAATCATTAGCAAACTAAAACTTTTCAATGTTTTAGCCATATAGCAAAGCAAAATGGAATGCAACATGCACATAATGCAAATTGATACATTAATCATACAACGGACACAGTCTCATATACAAGTTCATAGACAATTGATAACATTCACAAACATTGGTTATTTATCACAATACAACACAAAAGTTATGATTGTCACAAACAATAATAGCACATTGATAACACATAACAATGATGGAAAACATATAAGGAGGTTAAAAGTTATATAATATTAAATAAGAGACCAAGCTCCCACCACCATTAGTCGAACAACACAAGTAGAAAGTAATATTTAGTATATGGAGTAAGTGAGAGAAAAGGAAAATTATAACACCTAAAAAGAAAAGTGTATTAGTACATTTTTCACCAGCAAAGGTTAATTGTATATTGAAACTACAACAAAATATTTTAAAAATAAAGTAATCAACTTTAAATTATATGGATGCTAAAGTATCACTTGATGAATTAGCTAAATTTATATTTATTAGTTTTCCATTTTGAAAAGCAAAAAATAATAAGTTATATAACGTAAAACTCAAACAATACATATTTTACGATATTTTAAATACTCGTAATAAAATTTTAACATTTTATCACACTTATAAAAAGCTCTGACAAAAATTTTAACTTTATAATAATGGATACTAAGAATTTTAATACAGCTTCTATTTTCAACTTAAAAAACATTTTAATTTCATAGTGTCTAAAATATTTAACTTTGCTGTAAAATTACAACAGTAGTAATAAACTGATTTATGTACTACAATAAGATAAACATGTATTTGATAACATTCAGATTTAACGATTTAAATAAATAACTAATTTTATAAAAGAAATTACAAACAAAAGATAAACATTTTCATTTTAAAGTGATTTTTTACACTTATTATGCATAAGAGATGGATATTTTTTAAGCTCATAAGCTAAAATTGCATATAACACGTTTTTAAAAAAATTTAGAATGTACACTATTATATACAATTGAAAAAATGTACAAAATAAAGTGTATTTTTGAGTTTTGATGGTTTATAATATGATTTGGAGGACTACATGATAAAAATACATTTATAACGAAACCAAAAATGCAATGCAACAAAGTCTGTTTAGTTGCCTAAATTTTAAGAAAATGTTACTGCCAAATAGTTGAAAGAAGGCAGTACAGAATTTCCTTAGGCTGAAATATTAAATAATGTCTTTCTTTTTCAGGTTATCAAAGACAAACTCTTTGGGACAAAAAGAAAATCTCTAAGGCACTTTAGGGTTTTATGTCTGGTATTTAAAGAATGTAAGCCCCTGAGTGGATCAGTACAAAGTCAAAATTCCTAGTGTTATGCAATTGCATACTGTCAGTCTGTTTGGTCAGTCAGTTTCAAGTGTTCTTTCAAGCTTGAAAAATTAAGTGAAAAAGACTATACTAACAAGGAAAAAAATAATAGAAAACTAAAGGTAACAGCTCTAAATATTTTAAGAGGTATGATAACAATGATGGAAAAATTGTGAGAAGTGTCATAATAACATTAAAATTATTTATGGATTGTAAGAATAAATGCAACATGTTGAATATTAGGATGATGTAGTATAAACTTCAGGAATTTGGTACAAATGGTTGAGTTCCATCTATAAGTCTCTATTTCAATCTTTGAGAAGTATAAGGCAGTAGAACAGAGTCATTGGGAGTTATGAGGCAAAGTTATCACACTATCCAATAGGAATATTTTAAAATATAAAAAAAGATT